GTAGGGAAGGCCTAAAGGTCTATCACCAGATTCTTATGGGGGGGTCTCCGGGCAGCTGCTAAGCACCCCACCAATTTGTCTAAGGTCAGTCAGGGGATGTAGGGAAGGGATAAGTCTCCTGGAGCATACCTGGAGCACCTCTTAGAGGCTTTCAGAACTTATACTCCCATTAATCCAGAGGCCCCAGAGAATCAGATGGCCATCAATATGGCTTTCGTGAATCAGACAGCTCCAGACATAAAATGAAAACTTCAAAAGCTGGAAGGTTTCGAGGGCAAAAACCTTTCTGAGCTGATGGTGGTGGCAAACAAAGTATTTAACAATAGAGAAACCCCTGAAGAAAGACAAACTAAAGGGCTGGCTAGGATATCGTTGGCTGAAAGAGCAACGAATCCCAAATAGGGGGACCGACCCTCTATGAAAAAGGGAACCTGAGCCCCGCAACCCCCACAGGAAGGTCTGTCCTGCCTAAAAAGAGACCAGTGTGCATATTGTAAATAGCTGGGCCACTGGGCTAGGGAATGTCCTCAAAGGATGAGACCCCAGCCTCCCTCCAAGCCCAAGATCCTTGAGTTGGAGAACCTAGAAAACTGAAGGGGCCCAGGCTTGGCGAGCCTCCACCATGAGCCCTGGGTGATCCTACAAATGGAGGGATGAACCATCGACTTCCTAGTTGATGCCAGAGCATAATATTCAGTTTTGAAAGAGCCTATGAGAAAATTGACCAGTAAATGCACCTGGGTGCAAGGGGCCATGGGAATCGCTCAGCACCCTTGGACCACCAAAAGAAAAGTTAGGTAAGAAGACAGTTTCACACTCCTTTATGGTGGTCCCACAGTGCCTGTATCCCTTATTGGGTAGGGACTTGCTAAATAAAATGAAGGCTCAAATCCATTTCTCTGGGAGAGGACTTCCTGATGTGACTGTACTGGATGCAGCCAATATCCTATGTTTACAATTAGAAGAAGAATAGAGAGAGCACACCCCACCACCTCAAAAGAGACCAACCACTATCCTCAAAGACCTCCAGGCAATGATCCTTAGAGTTTGGGCAGAAACTAATCCTCCAGGGAGGACCATCCAACAGCCACCAATAATGATGACTTTAAAAACTAATGCTCAGCCTGTAAGAGTTAAACAGTACCTGATGACTCTTGAAGCCAGGGCAGGAATTACCAAACACATAAACTGCCTTAGAGAGTTCAATCTCCATGGAACACCCCCTCCTACCCATCAAGAAACTGGGGACTAACGATTTCCGCCCAGTGCAGGATTTGAGAGAAGTTAATAAGAGGGTAGAGGATATCCACCCTACAGTCCCCAACCTGTATACCCTGCTGAGCTCACTCTCTCCAGAGAGAAGAGTCTATACTGTTTTAGATCTCAAGGTCACCTTTTTTAGCCTGACCTTGGCAAAGGAAAGCTAACCCATCTTTGCCTTTGAGTGGCGAGACCCGAACCAGGG